AATATTATTATTATTACAACCCTCTGGCCTCATTTTAGAACAAAAACTCTATTGAATATAACTTGCACATTGTAGAGAGGCTAGGAAGGCTTTTAGAACTAAACCAAAGTACTTTAATTCCAATTTGACCTTGTTATGAAAGAGGTCTATTGCATTGCAATATCATTATGTAATCAACAGTTTTCAAGTATATATCAAGAGTATTAATTGCTTATGCACTTTACTTGGCAAATAATTCATGGGTGTATGATGGCAAGAAAGAGAGAGAGATAACTGAGAAATGATGCTAGTCAAGACTGTGAGGAACTTAACATCTCAGGTAGCTGTGCTTCTGCAAGGAATCACAGACCCTAAATGTCAATTGGGCAATTGCAATGAGCTTCTTATTTACTTGTTGTTACATTAAGTTATGTTAGAACAAGAAACATAACCGTGACAGAGCTCAACAACATCGCAACCAGTGGGTCGCCAAAGTGACTAGATTTTACACAATGGCAATTACCTTTTTGTGCTCAGTTCCCAGCTGGCCACTAAGATTTTTTACATTTGTATTTTCAATTTCCTTAGATCCCTTGTGATTTTCTCATTTCTGGAAACTGGGATCTGGCCATTTAAGTGAGTTCTCAAATATAGTCCCGTAGATGATGTTTCAGTAAGTGAAAGCGTTACATCAATTCCGCAACAGTAATTTCCTGTCACTACAGGATTATCTGCAAAGATTTTTCAGCCTTTGTGACCCTTTTTTCGAATTGAAGTGAAGTTGGTTTGTCTCCTTTCAAGAGCAAATATGTAGCTCCAAATGGAAAAAAAAAATTACCGTAAGTAGGTAGAAGATCGTCGAAGGGTTTATCCCATATCATGTCTTGAAATGAATCAATAGTTGTTGCGGATATCTCACGCTTAGTTTTTGGCTGATGAAAGCCTTTCACAAAACACTCCATCTCCGCCTTGAAGGCGTGGGGCATTTGTCTTCTGCGAATTGCTTTAGAAGGATTCATTTCCATAAGATCAACAGTGAAAAAGTCAGGATTTATTCAGGAATTTCGATTTCCCGCAATACGCACTTATCGTGACTAGGTACCAACTCCCTCTGAGTTATTTCTAGTGTCCAGTCTATTTTCGGCTTGGGTGACGCGCTGTCTCTAATGGCATGTTCCGATTCTTCCAACTGTTTCGGACGGTTCCATATTTGTTTCGGACGTTTCCGTTTGAGTTCAGTCCTTATCCCCAGTCCTTATTTACTGTACCTCGCCGTCCCTCACTGGAACATAACTTCTTATGCCATAAACAGACCCAAGAACAGAACAGAAACAACATCAAAGTTAGTGAATAAGAAACAAGGAATTATGAGACACAAATTCATCGAATGAATATAAGTCTATAGGACGATACTTTCACGAGTTTGTTATTTTCCTTTTCTATCAATAATATTGCGAAGACTACAACGTAGTATGTCTAATATGGACGCAAAGCGATCCAGAGACTGGTACTATCTCTTCGCCACCTCCACTGACCTAATTCAAACGCGACAAAAACATGGGCAATTTTTTGGTCAGAAGTTCATTCCAAACTAAAGACCAAGCCCTCGTGAGACCTAAACTGGAATATGGCAGTAACCTGTGGTCACCTTACACGGTTAATCATCGAAAGCTTTTAGAAGATGTCCAGCGTAGAGCAACCAAGCTCATTTTGAGCTATCCTCGAGACATGTCCTGTACTGAGAGACTAATTAAGCTGAACTTACTACCCTTGGAACACCGCAGAGAGATTTCAGACTTGCTACTATGTTTCAAATCAAGAAATGGTCTGATAATTACCGATATTCATGACTATCTGTGCACCTCTGATCCTCGTTATAAAACTCGTAACTATGATCTAAACATAAGTTTCAAACACAAACAGGACTACTTAAAATAGGACTGCAGGACTGTGGAATACTCTTCCACCCAATATGAAATGTACAATTTCGCTCTTAACATTTAAATGTAAATTAAATAACATTTTTGTAAACTCGTCTCATACAGTCCTTCAAGTTAGTATTTTATAGCTTGAATTGACTTGCTTTTTTTGTAAACATATTCTAGCCTATTTATTGTGTCTTTTTTTATCGTATTATCGGGGTTAGGTCTCAATTGGGACGAAAGTTCTGTTCCTGTCTCCACCAATAGCGTAACTCCACTTTTTGCATATAAAGCCACACACAACTCACAATTCCTCCATTCGTTCTGACGAAGTTCTAACTCTTTACGGTGGCCGATTTCCAATTTCAACTTAGTTGATAAAACCAAATTACTTTGTTACCTCCACCGACGCAGCAACACAGTTTCTTTAGAAAGTTACCCCCCTTATTAACATGGAGGCAGCTAATCAGAGAAACTTAATATCTCGCACTCTCAGTCAATTTTTCGACAGGCCTGTCCAACTTCTGGCCACCACTGGCCCAGCTGGCAAAGCGGCTACTAGTGGCCAAAATAGCAAAACAGCGTCAAATGGCCAAAATCAAATGGCCAAAATCGCAAGACATCCACTAGTGGCCAAGATGGCAAGACATCCGTTTGTGGTCAAAACGACAAAACAGCCACTAGTAGCCAAAATGGCAAAACGGCCACTAGTGGCCAAAACGGTAAAACCGCCACTAGTGACCAAAACGACAAAACAGCCACTAGTAGCCAAAATGGCAAAACGGCCACTAGTAGCCAAAATGGTAAAACCGCCACTACTGACCAAAATGGCAAACCAGCCATTAGTAGCCAAAGTGGCAAAACGGCCACTATTGGCAAAAATGGCAAAACAGCCACTAGTGGCCAAAATGGCAAAACAGCCACTAGTAGCCAAAATGGTAAAACGGCCACTATTGGCTAAAATGGCAAAACAGCCGGCAAAAATCACTAAACAGCCACTAGTGGCTAAAATCCCTAAACGGCCAGTTGTGGCCAAAATGGCAAAACAGCGACTAGTGGCCAAAATGCCAAAACAGCCACTCGTGACAAAAATCGCTTAGCGGCTACTACCGGCCAAAATGGAAAAACGGCCGCTAGTGGCCAAAATGGCAAACCAGCCACTACTGGCCAGAATGCCTGCACGGCCATTAGTGGCCAAAATGTCAAAACAACAACTAGTGGCCGAAATGGAAAAACGGCCAAAAAGTGGCAAAAACGGCAAAATGGCCACGTCTGGCCAAAACAGCCACTAGCGGCCAAATGGCAAAACGGCCACCAGTGGCCAAAATGCCAAAACAGCCATTAGTGCCAAAAATCACTGAAACGGCTACTAGTGGCCAAAACGCTACAGCTACTACTGGCCAAAATAGGAAAACGACCACTAGTGGCCAAAAGAGCGGCAAAACCGCCATTAGTGGCCAAAATGGGAAAATGGCCACTTGTGACCGAAATGGGAAAACGGCCACTATTGTCCAAAATGGCAAAACGGCCACTAGTAGCCGAATGGCAAAACGGCCTCTACTGACTAAAATAGCCAACAGCCACTAGTGGCCAAAATGCTAAAAAAAACAGCCACTAACAGTGGCCAAAATGCCAAAACAGCCACTATTCGCCAAAATGACAAAATGGCGATTAATGGTCAAAATGATGACTACCACTTGTGCCCAACATGACAAAACGGCCATTAGTGGCCAAAATGGCTAAATGGCCACTAGTGGGCAAAATGTCAAAACGGCCACTGGTTGCCAAAATTGCACAACGGCTACTTGTGGAAAAAAATTAAAAAACGGCTACTAATGGCCTAAAGTGTAAAACGGTCACTAGTGGCCAAAAGTGCAAAACGGCCATTAGTGGCCAAAATGGGAAAACGGCCACTTGTGGCCAAAATGGCTAAACGGCCACTAGTGGCTATAATGGCGCGACGGCCTCTAGTGGTCAAACTTGTAAAACGGTCACTAGTGGCCAAAAGGGCAAAACGGCCAGAAGTGGCCAAAATGGCAAAACGGCCAGGTCACTAGTGGCCAAAAGGGCAAAACGGCCACTAGTGGTCAAAATGGCTAAACGGCCACTAGTGGCCAAAATTGCAAAATGGCCACTGGTTTCTAAAATGGTACAATGGCCACTTGTGGCCAAAATGGCAAAACGGCTACTAGTGGCCAGACTGGCAAATAGGCTGCTATTAGGTAAAACGGTCGCTAGTGGCCAAATACGGAAAATTACTGCTAGTGGCCAAAATGGCAAAATGACACTGGTGGCCATGATGTTAAAACAACCGCCAGCGGCCAAAAATTTAAATGGGAAAACGGGTACTAGTGGTCAATATTGGAAAAAGGCCTGTAGTAGCCAAAATCATAAAGCGGCCACTAGTGGCCAAAATCACAAAACGGTTACTAGTGGCCAAAATCACAAAACGGCCACCAGTGGCTAATATCGCTGAAGGTCAACTAGTTGCCAAAATGGCAAAAGTGCCACTAATGGCCAAAATGACAAAACGGCCGCTAATACCCAAAATGGGAAAATGGTCACTAAGGGCCAAAATGGCAAAACGATCATTAGTGGCCAAAATGGCAAAATGGCCATGGGTGGCTAAAATCGCAATTGGCCACTAGTGTCGATAAATGGATTATGACAATAGAAAAGGAAACGTAGGAGACTGGGAAAGGTCTATTCTTCATATTTTCCGGTGTTGCCTCTTCTAGTTTGAGTGTTAGAATGGGCTTCCTAGGGAGAGGGGGCGTGGTGACCCAGGGTACCACCCTAAGAAAAACCAAAATACTGAAGTGCATTGTGGGTTCAATGAGTCAGCCGAAAAAAACATGGCGGACAAAATTTCTGTCTGAAGTAGTGATCTTCCAGATCAAAACTTGTTTTCGGCTGTGCTGTAAATTTTAGAGTCCTGTCATACATTATTTTGGATCATTTTCAAGACATGAAGGAAAGCTCATCTTCTCATGTAGGACGTGAACATCTAAAGAGAAACTAACTATTTCTGTTCAGTTCTGTTATTACTACGTTCCCAAAGCGAGACGGTTCGATTGAATGAGACAATATGAGAGGAAAAAATTCGAAGAAACTGGCTTTTTGCGGATATTGAGACTTTTGGTCAGCGTATCGTAAACAAAAGACAGAGAGGCTTGGTTTGCTTAAGAGTTTAGTTGATCTGTTTGCAACTCAACACAGGCAAAGTGTTCTTCGTACTTCCTGCTCTCTTGACCCGTATTTCTCACGCGCCGATTCATGCTCTGCAATCTTTCCTCTTTGGAAGTCATAGTGTGGCTGTAGCTTGCAAGAAAATGCCGTCTTGTCCTCATTTGAACTCTATCGATGAAGTAAATGTAGAAGCGATAAAGGGGAAAATGAAAGAGGTGAGGAAGCGCTTGTGCTAATTATGTAAGGATGTTTACCACTTGAGTACGTACGGATCGATGTAGCAATTTATGCCTCGTCTGGGTAAATAGTGGAAGCTTTTTTTAGAAACGAATTTTTACTTAGTTCTTTAGAAGCTTTAAAAGAAATAGCTTATTCGAGGATTTAAGTTAATCCGTCAGCGAGTTATCTATTCTTGATCAAATACCGTTGCCTTGTGTTTCTGTTATTTTGCATATTTGAAGTTCATTATAAAATGAAGAACTTCTTGTGTCATTTGTCATTAGAGTAAATATTTGGAAAAACAGGCGTTTTTTTCCTCTCTGTCTAAAGAAGTATCTTGTGGATTTAGACAGATGGTGCGTATATTTTGTATGGATGAATACAGCTGTTTGGATGTCTACTTACACTTAAGCTGTTTACAAGGAATTGTCTGCTTTGTAGTTTCATTATTTGAGGCTAATGATATGCACAGTGTAAGCACTATGGGGAGTTCTTCATCATGTTGAAGTAGTAACACAACAAAAATCAAAGAATCAAGCAGTGACTTACATTATTTTAATATTATGATGCAAGTATGAATTAGCATTAATTTTTTCTTTGCTGTTTGTTAAGGTCCATCTGGTAGAGAATTGTAAAAGCTATGTTAACAACGTCTGTGGAGTATTTTACATCAAAAACTTTTTTCGATAAAACATGCTGGAGAGGTTTGCAGTTTAGGAGCACTAAATAGCATAAAAATACTATTGATGGATTGATGTCATGGGAGTTAAAGCAGTCTTTTAAGAAGGCAAAGCTGTTTTCATAATGTTTGGTAGCAAAGCCTTTTGTGTTGAAGATATGTTTACATTACCTACACCTTGTGTAGACTGAAGAAGTTTGCACTCAATTTGGATATAATTTTTACTCATTTCATGAAAAGAAAATGATGATTATTAGGAAATTCTCTGTCATTGTTAGATTTTTATATCAGATTTAAATGTGAAAGAACTATTTCATTTTGAAATCTATTATATGCTATTAGAGTCACTCAGAATTTTGCATACAGGAAGTTTCAGGAAAAAATCAACACAACTAAAGGAAAGAATGTAAATGATATTGAAGTTGTGACTCAAACTGCAGGCAAATATACTGTGCTTTGTGGGATAATTTACTTTTCAACTTTATAAATTTCAATTATAATCATGGTGATGATATACTAACTAAATACGCTGAACTGTAGGTAGTGTACAGGAGAAAACCAAGAAACAAATTTCAAACACATTGAATAAGATTTATCCTTTAAATTGGTTTGTTAAAAGTATGTTACAGATACATGGCATGACTTAGCAACCATACTTTCCAAAAGTGGACATTTCTTGATGCTAAGAGCAATGTAACTGTATTCATATATTGTGTCTGCATCTCTTGAACATATCTTTACTTGCAGCTGATCACAAGAGACCATTATGCAGTCTCTTTGTTTGTGTATTTTTTTAAAGTGCCAAAAACACGTGCAGACTGTACATGTATGTAAATATAATTTTTCTTACAATTGTATCTGTTTGTGATGTTTTCAAGGCAGCTGTACCATTTGTGGTGTATCATAATCAGAAGGAGCTTAGATCATCAGAAAGTCAGTCACTAGGTTGGACCTAAAACAAGCTAGGAGAAACAAGCTTTGCAAATTTGTGTATTTGTAAACAACAATTTGGTTAAATTGGAAAATGACTGGTTAGTCAGTCATTTGCATGACAATTGTGTAGTGAGTGAGGGAGCCATATTATCAGTTGATTAGCTTGTCGTCTGTTAGTTAACTCTGTCACGTCTAAGATGTAAATACCAGTTGTTTACTGAACTTGTGTCAGAATAGCATGTTCCTTTGTTTTTATATATACCTCTTCCTGTCATGAACCCTTTTCTAATCACATTACAAGTCAGAATTATATCTTCATTTGTCTCTTTAGATACCCCTGCCTGTCATGAACCCTTATCCAATCACATCACATGTCAAAATAACATGTTCCTTTGTCTCTATAGATACCCCTGCCAGTCATGAACCCTTATCCAATCACATCACAAGTCAGAATTACATCTTCATTTGTCTCTTTAGATACCCCTGCCTGTCATGAACCCTTATCCAATCACATCACAAGTCAGAATTACATCTTCATTTGTCTTTTTAGATACCCCTGCCTGTCATGAACTCTTATCCAATCACATCACATGTCAAAATAACATGTTCCTTTGTCTCTATAGATACCTCTGTCTGTCATGAACCCTTTTCCAATTGCATCACATAATTATTAGAATTACATGTTCCTTTCTCTCTTTAGATATATCTGCCTTCCGTTAATCTTTTTTTTCTTAATATAATTTATGTTTCCTCAGCAGAGTTGTGATAATTGTGAAAAGTCAGGATCAGATTTGTGGGTCTGCTTGCAGGTTTGTGATGAATATTTTAAACCAAGCTAATTGTCAATATTTTTAGGTCTCAATTATAACTGCCAAATTATGAATAAAGCAAACTGATTAACTTTGAGAAACTAGGTATTCTTTGTTGATGCAAAGCACTGGTAGCCATAATTTTTAGGAGCAAGCGCCTTCAAAAAATTTGAATTAATGAGAAGAACTGGAGCACTGAGAATCTAGAATTTCTCCATCTATTTGGTATAACAATGCATGCATGTGTACAGCTATTTATTAACTACCGTCATACTATTATTTCCTTTCAGAAGTGTTGTTCATTCGTAGGGTGTGGACGATTTGGTAACAATCACATTGAGCTTCACAATCAGGTAGGTTGAGTTTTGAAATCTCTCAGCTTTGAAAAGAAGAGAAGCACCTCACATCCTTTCTTTTCTGGATGGAGATTGTCTATACTTTTTGACATGAAAGGCCCTCCCTTCATCAGCCATTTAAATGCTTTTAATAAGCAACCACCTTGTACAGATATTTTTCTTCCCATAATGGAGCAAATATAGCTTTGGGTATTACTGCATTTAGATAAAATAGTTTACAGAAATGTGTAGAGCATGAGCCACAGCTTCCCACAATGCCTTATGGTGTCAGAGATTCCACACAGCCCCATGAGTTCCTCATTTGACATGAATATCCTCATCATTGCTAGCCACAATTGGGAGAACATTTTCAAGATCAGTGTTACTTCTCATTGGTGATCAGTTCCTTGGTTCTCTTAACATTTACCAAACAATACACTGACACTGTGGGGAGAAATGAAGTACTGATCACTAAAGGAGCTTACAAAGTAAAACTGACATTTAAATACTCTGATGGATTCAACCAATTGGTCTTGTGTTTGCTTATGGAAGGAAGAGACAATTGAACACAATATCACTGGCAAACTCCACATGCCCTTAATCTATGCTACTCATTTCCAGAATATTAATTATCCACCATCTTTTACATTCTGTAGGAAACTGATCACCACTTGTGTTTACAACTTCAAGATTTTCACATGTGGTGTTTTAGCTGCCAGGCGGAAGTGCAGCCCTCTGACAGCTCTGCAGGCAGTGTTGATGGAACTAGTCCTTCAAGAGNTAAAATATTCCTTGGGAAAAAGCTGTGGCGCAGTCTTTCGGTCCTGCATTTAGTCACTGAAAAATTGCTAGCGTTCCTTAATTGATACAGATGCACTTGCTTTCTTTCTTTCGGGAGATGTTTAAAAAGTGGCTCTCCTCTTGAGATATTTTCAAGAGTTTTAACACAAAGTTCATAAGTAATAATCATCACAAGTGCAGGCTCACATGGAACATTGCGACTCAGTAACACCTAGCACCTTTTAGTCCTCAAGCAGTTTGGTATTGGCCATTCCTCAGCATTCCTGAGCCCTTTTATTGTGGTTGTTTTCAGGCATTCACCCTATCCAAGAGATATGGGGATTTACAAGCTACGAGGGTAGTATTCTGTCTAGGGGCAAGCAGCCAACTGTTGAAGCCCTCTCTATGCACCACCTATTAGAGAAAGACAGGGGTGTACTTTAGAAACAATCTATAGGTTATCGAAATGTTTTTTCTCTGCTTTGGTTTGGTATAGACTCATGAGGTCTTGGATATGGAAGATGCACTAGAATTAGAGAAAGGCCTAAAGCCAAGAGGTGAGAAGACTGTTGATATTTTATTTGCTAGGATGCAAATCAAGAAATATTACCCATGAGAGACTGGCTTGGTTGAATTTTCAACAGCATGTGCTGAACATTGTTACCCTTTCTGATGCAAAAAGGTCACTTTAAAATTTTTAAAGTGAAGCTGGTATTTCCTTCAAACAATAACTGATATTCATTCAGTTACATTTCATTTACAAAAAGCTTAGGAGAAATGAATGGACTATTACTTTGCACTTGCTACATGAATGTCACAATTTGGATAAACACACAGAGAAATATTTTTGTTAATATGCATGACCTTCTGTTAAAATGTCAGTGGGAAGAGATTGAAAAATAAATTGGCCTTGAAATATTTTCTTCAATTCTTGTGGATGATACCATTCCCCCACCTGTCAATTTTTCTGTTAAGAAGGAGAAAGGTACTCACCTTTGTCTGCACAGGCTACATTATGTTCACCTGTAAGTAGGCCTAGGACAAATTGTCAGATGGTTCTGTTTATCAGGTTTATGTGGTTTGTCAAACCTTGGAAATACATGTTACATGAATGCTGCTCTTCAGGCTCTATCAAACTGGTAGGCTTGTGTTCTTATAATTATGTTCGACTGTGTATTTTATAAGGTAGTTTTGGTTTTATCAACTGAGTTGATGTAAATTGGCCACCATGAAGAGTTGTAAATCTGAAGTTTTGAGGGGGAAATCCCTCCTGGTCATTTGCTCTGAGAAATGGGTAATGCTCATTTAACTTCAGCTTTTAAACTCTTTATAATGGCAAATTTACATCATTTGCTCTGAGAAAGAGCTAGTGCTCCAAACTTCAGCTTTTAAACTCTTTAAGGTGGCCAATTTACATTATCAACTCAGTTGATAAAACCAGAATTACTTTGAATTGTTACTCCCACTGATGCAGCATCACAGTTTCTTTTATTATAAACTTACCCCCTTTATTCATGTGTATTGTATAATTTACTTTAATTCATTTTATTTGTTTTCAGCATTGGTCAAGTTACATAATCATAATCATTATCATTATCATAGCCTAGGGTCCCTTACAGAAGATAAGACACAATCTTTGTGTATATTATTGATAAATTGTATTCTGAGTCATGAGAAAGTTGTTTAGAGCTGATTTTTTTTTTTTTTTACATGGACATAACTCCCTCAGTTTTCCAAAATTAGATATTAAAATTAATAATTTTGATTAAATGAAATTTTACCCAAACAAGGCCTTTCCTTACACTTTCTGCAACATACTAGAATGATCCATTTTGGACTGCAGTTTACAGTCCTGAGGGTGTCTGCTTTAAAGAGATGTGACTTTATTATTTTTCATGAAAGTTATATATACTCTAGACTCTTACGTATGATGCACGATCCTCGCAGTAGATAGCGCTATTTAAGCAATAGCGAAAATCAGACCTGAAAAAAATCAGGCCTGTACGGGATTCGAACCACTGACCTCTGCGATACTAGTGCAGCGCTCTACCAATTGAGCTAACAAGCCAACTGGGAGCAGGCCTTTAAGTTGATTCGTAATAAACCCGTGAAAGTGATAAATCAGATACAATGAAATATATGAAGTTCATATATTTTGAACTGCGGTATTAGATACATATGATGCACGATCCTCACAGTAGATAGCGCTATTTAAGCAATAGCGAAAATCAGACCTGAAAAAAATCAGGCCTGTACTCTAGACTCTGTTATGAATGCCTGATAGTTGTTATGAGGCTTCTCCCAAATTGAAGTGTTCTCTTGTATACTAAGGTCTCGTTAATTTTTTGAAGTTATGAGAATTAATTTGAATGATCACTTGAATCAACTTTTTTGCAGTCCACCCCTTACTCAATATTTCTTGGAATGTGGAAGCTTTGCAAAAGAAACAAAGAACTCTTCTGTCAGCAGAAATTTTTCAATACTAGTCAATGAGATATGGTCAAGGAAAAGGTACCTGTAATTTATTTTTTGAATTCAGAATGTTTCTGAAGTTGAAATGCTGAATAGATATATTGCCTGTAGTTTAGTTTTGTGCTCACTCATCAAGGAGATAGAAGTGTTGATAGACATTTGTCATGAGTGGTAAGGGCAATAATTTGAAACCCCAAGGAGTTCAGAGTTTGTTTGGTCCACACAGGATCTTTTTACAATTCTTGGTTCTAGCTGTATGCAGAATGCATGTTATTGTTTAAAAGTGTCTTAATGTTTACTCATGACTGCTCTCTGCAACAACCTTTTACTTCATTCAGACCAAAGTATGTTGTGCCATCTCAGCTGCTTCGTAGTGTTCGGCAGATCAACTCTCAGTTCAGAGGTTATGGGCAGCAGGTAAGATAGCCTGTGTTTAAGTTCTTTCCTTAAATTTGTTTTCCTTGGAGAGTCAGTCGAGTAAAATCATAGTTAACATAATTGGTTACTTCTTTTAAGTATTACCAACAGTACTATGGAGAGTTCACTGGCTATGTTTGCTGTTGGAAAATTGATTTTTCCTAGAGTCCCTTTAAGTTTTATTGTTGTTAATAGTCTTAGAACACAATTCAAAATTTTATGTGGGGAGTTGATTTTTTTGAGTCCCACCAAGATTTTTGTCATTTGTGGCTTTCTTTTTCTTAGGATGCTCAGGAATTCCTACGCTGTATCATGGATCAGTTACATGAGGAGATAAGGCAACCTGTGCTGTCACTTACAACTGATCCAGAGTCCTCTGACAGTGACGATGAAGAACCAAACCATCAGAATAAGAGACTGTTAGGGGGAACAAGCCTGTCTCATACTGAAAACCTTCAAGATGGTACATGAGGCTTAACTTTATACACTTAACATCAGTATGCATATTCTCCAAACTGTTCACTGTGTGTTTCCTAAGGTGCTGACAAGGAGAATTTGTTCCACAATTAAGAGCTTCTGTAGTTTGTGATCATTTCCTTTATTCTCATGACCTTAATGAGTAATGCAGGGGTGATTTTTTTTTTTTTTTTAAGGAGAATTAGATTATAGTCACTGTCAGTGGTGAAAGGGTTCTGCTCATTTGTGCCAGAGATTTGTGAATATGACCATAATAGTATCAGTTTGTGAAAAAAGAAGAACAAAAAACAAAAAATGAAAGACCAAGAGGGCTTAAAGTTACCAATATTATAAAGATTGAAATAGGCTGTAAGCAACAAGCTAAAAAAAAAAATTGGATAAATATTTCAATACAAGCAATTCTGTATAATCTATCAATCTGCCTTCATTAAGTGATTCCCTTGAGTGACCGAGAGAGAATTTTCCTCCTTATGATATCAATACAATGGTAGGGAGACCCTTGTTGAAAATAAAGAAAAATATAATAAACTGGGGAACTATCTGTTGATCCAATGCCAGATTCTCAAAACTAAAAAGTGAGAATTGTAAGGGAGGCGTTAAGGAGAAATTACTAAATTAAATTAAATGAGATTGTGGGAGTGGAGGGTTAATTTTCTTTTCTGTGCTCAAAATAATATAATAATAGTAATACTAATTATAATAAAATAGTAATAATAAAAATAATAATAATAACTAACTATAATAATAATAATTAACAGTGGACATTCCTCTAGGTGGTTCTTTTTGTCCACTGTTTCCAGATCAAATTGGAATTTGGAATGTTGGTTTTTTTGTAATATCAAAGTTATATCATTTCCTATAGATGATGGTGATGTGGATATGTATTCAGAAAGTGGTGATGATGCCATGGATGCTAAACCACTACATGTTAACACAGCAGAAGAGCAGACAGACCAGGATAAGGAGACTGATGGAGCCTCGAAATCCAAACGCAGGAAGACCAGCACAGATCCTGTGGATGATAATGAAGTGAAATTGTCTGTCGAGGGTGAGCCAATGAGTGATGATGAAACAGAGCATCATGATCAAGTTGATGAAAACATGGACAATGAGGATGTTGCATTAATCAAAGAGGAAAAGCCAATGGATTCAGACACAATGGAACACACCAGGCAGCCATCTGATCAGGAAAGAACCAAAAGGGAGCAAATAGCTGAAAAAAGTAAGATAATTATTCACTTGACTGTGCAATGTCCCAGAGGTCTGATCTGATCTGATCTGGTTTGCCAATTTTGTGGGTTATGTGTTCATTAGATTTGATACAGCTCAGAATACTAAGGTGCTGAACGTTCACTGTGTATGTGACATTATATAGGAGGTGGCATGGCCAAGTGGTTAGGGTGCTGGACTTGTAATCCGGTGTCCCTGGTACAAGTCCTCCACCCTGCCACTCACTGGATTTGTTCTCGGTTGCCCCTAGTTCAACTCCTCGGCTGCGCTCTGTAATTAGCCCACTGGTCTGCCTCATGCCAGTGAGGATTTTTAAGCACTTAGTTAGTCTACATTGTGGCTGAAAAGCCCCTAAGGGGGAGCTTCAATTAATGTAATGTATGTATATACCTGCACTTCAAATTGGCATCCTATTCAATCTTTGTTGAGGATTAAAGGAAATTGACCACTGTAGAGAGATGCTAAAGGCTAAGAAACTCTCAGCAGTGGACATTTCACATTATCAATGCTGTTGATACAAGCAAATTATCTTGTAATACCACCCTCCAATGCAGCTCCACAATTTCTTAGAAACTTACCCCATTTATGTTTAGAGGAATAGTTCCTTAAAATTCATTGATAATCTGTATCTGTTGAGGATTGAAATGTGTCTCCTTTAAATTTGTAAATCTTCAGTTGGTTTTTAATGGTCAGGAATGTTTGAAGTAAAATTCTACAGACTTATCAATTTTTTTTTGTAATAGGGAAGAAAAGGATGAAAGTACCATTGAACTACAGCAGTATAGTCACTGACTTATTTGATGGAACAATACAGAGTTCAGTGCAATGTTTAACCTGCCACAGGGTACTAAAGCATGGTTAATCTGTAATATTTTAGCTTACTCTGATTAAAAATGTGTATCAGTAACAGAGCATTACATGACTGTGTAATGATGTGCATGTTCTTTAGAGGTGGAGTCCTTTTTTCTGTGTGCAATATGGACTCTGTGTTTATATTGATATTTAAATCACTTTTTGATCATGTATAGCTGTAGGAGGACAATTTGCCATTTTCCATTTGGTAGGTTTATGTACCAAGCAGAACTGCACTGGAGCTGAACATTTTTTGTAGCAAATCAGAGTTGGAGATTATTAGGCAGGATTAGACCACCACTTTTGTGGAGTAATTTGCAGGTCTTGCCAAAGTAGCTCTTTGGTCAATCAAATGCAGGGAAAAAAGATAGAGACAAATGCTTACACAGCAATTTTCCATTTTGCAGGTTTCATCAAGGGCAGAAACATTTCAAGATGTCTCTCTACCAATTCCAGGTAACAGTTCTAAATACGTTTTTGTCTTCAAATCACACAACAATTCATTAAATATTGCAACTTGCAGGTAAATGTACTTGTACAAGGTTGTTCTGAGTCTTTGAAACTCTTATTTATTCATAGGCAAAGATGAGCTGACAGTTCTTCACGCCTCACAGTGCACGCCGTTAGCATCATGTTCATCTGTTATGGACAGAGATCAGGATAAAAGCTGGATGTCAACAATACTTGAATGGCTAAGAAGGTGCATTTGAGAAGATTTGTAGAATCTGCTGTTACATCCCATTTGAATGCTACACCTTGTATCAGAGACTGTCTGACAAACAGACTGTTTGACTGGCTGACTGACTGTTAGACTGTGATTGACTGACTGAGCCATTTTCCCTTATTATTTTGTTCATAGATTAATACCCATTTTCCTTTGTCTTAGCTTGTAACCCTGATGTTTAATGATCAGGACCAAGTAACAATGAAAAGTCAAAATCTACCAGGTTATAAAATTTTTCACATAACAGAAGTAAAAAAATTAGTTCTGTATCAGCAATGACCCACTCTTAGTTATCTGACAAATTGTGCTGTTTGTTATCTGTAGCTGGTTTTTAGGTCCACAAGTCACACTTTCAGACTGCTTGTCAGCTTTTTTTTCAGCGGATGAATTGAAAGGTTTGTCTTTGTCAGTTTGTTGTCTGTTTTGTTAACAAATTTCCAAAACCTCACTGCATCTTGTCTCAGGGATGGACCAGATGTGTTGATGAACCAGATGTGTTTAATGTACCAGAGAGTTGTGATTGTAGTTTAGTGTATATCTTTTTTACTGATTTGAAATTGTTCACAATTATACCTCTTGGTGATGCCATTGTAAGATTAATTTTCTTGAAATTGGGTTACAAATGTCTTCTGCAGAATTTCTCATAAATTTCAATAGTCTTATTGGTTTGCTTTGCATAAAAGACTAAATTAAATGTTATTTTACATTAACTGGAATTACAATTTTACCAAACATGGTAATGTTAATAATGATAATAATATTATAAAAATATTATTGTGGTTTTAGTTATATCAAAATATCCCATCACATGGCTTATCATCATTAATTTATATTTCAGGAGACAACATGTACAGCTGTGAAAAGTGCAAAAAGTATGTTTATGTCAAAGAATAATATTTCCCCTAATCTTACTACAGCTGTAGAGTATAGAATTCTTCCTACATTTCATTTGTATAACATGGGGTAGTTTCAAAAAGTTAGTTTGTTAAAAAATCATTCCAGTTTCAATGTTCCTCTCACCTGGAAAATTACACTAGCCGATCAAATACTTTTTTCATACTTGACCTACTCCCACTACTTTACATAATGCTGTGCAAACTGTAGGACCTACAGTTTGCACAGCATTATGTAAAGTACTGAAAGTAGGTTAAGTATGACAAAAGTATTTGATTGGCTAGTGTAATTGTCCAGGTGAGAGGAACATTGAAAGGACTTTTTTAAGTGACAGTAACTGGTGTTTTAGTAGCCTGAGCAGAAGTCATCATCAGAGTCAAGTGACTTTATGATGACTTTAGCTCAGGGTTTTTAAAATCAGCTGTTCAGTGGTTGCCACTGACAACAATCTTCAAACCAGCTTTCTTGCAGATGATCAGACTACCTGATCATTTCTTACTCCTGGGTTCAAATCATTCATCCCCAGTAAATGTTTTGAAGCTGATATATTTCTTTCAACTATTTGTATGACCTGAAAGTAAGTTGTTCAGTGTTTGCAAAATCTGTCCATTTCTTACTAAGTGTAAATTTAGTTATTTAGTACAACAAGAAGTGATTTTGAAAAAAATTGCGATAAAGCATTTCTTAAAATCATTTTAAGATAAAAAACTGCTAAAAGACGATTTTTCGACGTTAGCTGAACGTCATTATCAACTCAAAATATGTTTGCAAGTTCCAGTCTATAAATACTTAAAAAACAATAGCTGATTAGAAGCTGTAATGTGAGAAAAAGATGATTAAAAATATTAAACAAAAGTTTCGCATATATGAGTTCATCTGGATATTTAAATTAGGCTTAAGATTCTTGATGAAGAACATTTTAAATACTAAACACTGCCTAGTAATAAGCGGTGTGTTGTATAAGCCATCAATTGTTAATAGGCAGTGTGTTGTTTATCTTTTTTCACGTGATCTGTGTTATGCAGATTGTCAGATACATAGCCTGACACCTTCATCAACACATTGTTGAGCACAAAAATTCGGCAATCAATAGACATTTCTTAGAAACTCACAGTAACAACAACCTCTTGAAAGAAGACCAATTCACAGTTTTAAGAAAGTGCCAGAGCAAATTTGATTGTTTAGTATTGGAAATGCTCTTCATGAAGAATCTTAAGCCTAACTTAAATATCCAGACGGACTCCATACGTGCAAAACTTTTGTTTAATATTTTAATCATCTTTTTCTCACATTACCAACAGCTTTTAATCAGCTATTGTTTTTTAAGTATTTATAGACTGGAACTCACAAACATATTTTGACTTGATAATGATGTTCAGCTAACGTCAAAACATCGTCGTCTTTTAGCAATTTTTTAATCTTAAAATGATTTTAAGAAATGTTTTATCGCATTAAATTTTTATTGTTTAATACAAACATCTTAAGATAACAGCCAACTCTCTAACTGCTAATATAATAACATTTCAGGCTAAGAAATGGTGTCAAACTTTGTAAAGTAATGCGCCTCCCTGAGGTAAGTCTAACATTTGTTACTGATGCCAAAATATAGATCTAAATGGTTTTCAATTAGGGGGCAGTCAGAATCAATTTACCAATATTTTAGAATTAAATAATGCCTTACATTGTAGATATTGTAAATTTATATGATCACTGCCTTGTTTTTTTCTCATTGTAGGTTTTGTGCATTCATCTGAAGCGTTTCAAGCATGAGATGTACTTCTCTTCAAAAATAAATCACTTCATTTCATTTCCATTGACTGGTTTGGACATGAAACCATTCTTGGTTAAAGGTATAGAATATAACAACAACTGTCATGAACACGTTTCAATGGAATCTTAAAGTTTGTTAAATTTCAGAAACATCAGCAGAAGTTAAGGCACATGTCTATGGGTTAATGATAATGCAATGATTTTTCAAAACTTTATGAAGAAACTGTTAAATGACAGTGGTGATGCACATTTTCCAGTTCATACCAGATTCTCATCAAAGCACAAAGAAAAAACTGTTTTTTTCCCCGTCAGATTTTCACAAACAGGATCCAACCCAGAAGTGTACTACATATGATCTTGTTGCCATTATCACACATCATGGTAATGTTGGAGGTAAGTTGATGTAGTGAACTTTACTTTAATTGCCACATTTGTCAGTCATTTTTTTTATTAAAGGCAGTAGGTGGATCTGGGGGCTTAATCAATAACTAAATTTATGTACAGTAAGGCTAACTTTACTTAAAATTAATTCATTTTTGCCTTATTTTAGATTCTTTACATCAAATCAAATCAAATCAAATCATGATTTTTATTGTGTACAAGAATGCATTAATAGAAACTTCAGAGATTATCCCTATCAAGGATGTTCCTTCCATAAGATTAAGTTATGATTTTAAGAAGGATGATATTTCTTTGTCTTCTAGCTGGACACTATGTAACCTTTGCCAAGAACTATATCAATGGTAAATGGTATGAGTTCAATGACTCCTGGGTCAGCGAAGGTGTGTGTCATTCACCAAATAATTAGCTTAGTTATTATCTAGTGAAAAAGAACTGCAACTTAATGACTTTAAATTAAATTAGACCTTACCAGGATTTTATAACATTGGTGGGGAGAATTCCTTATGAGTTGATATAATGTTGAGTAATGTTGAAATACAGAGTTTTGATGTGCTCCTCTTAACTTTTCAATTTCAGTTTCTGACTCATTTGTGGCTGATGTGGAAGCCTATGTACTGTTTTACAGGTAAGTTGAACATTTCAGGCTATTCTGCAAAGCGGGAGGGTAGATTGAAAGGCCCGGGCTGCTGAGGAAAAGAGTTTACTTCTGCTTTGGCTAAGTTTTCTTCTAATTCTGGCATTTTCCCTATGCAAAACAATCACAATTACTTGGCAATTCATGATCATTATCAGTTTTCTTATCATATACTCTCTTCCCATGTGGATTAAGAAATGTGAAAAAAAATTAAATATCCTTTTGATTTTAAATTTTGTGAACAGGAAATCAAGTGACGAAGCCACCAGAGAACGACAGACTTTCTTCAATTTACTGAAAGATGCTCAGGTACTGCAGCTGTGGACTGACTCAGCAACATCATTTCTGCATTATTAATCCAAATGATATGTCTGATCCATGGTGAATGATCATGCTATTTTCTCTTTTAATTGTATCATGAATACACGATTTATTCATGATGCATGTATTCGTAAGAATTTCTTTTTATTACCTGGTACTAAACCATTCTTTCAAGGCTGGGGCCCTTGTAGCTATCCTTTCTTTCTTTTTAATTGCCATTCTTTTTTTAGTAGCCATTCTTTGGCAGCAGGTAGATTGCTTAATATTGAAATCTTCTGAAGCTTTTATTGAAGAGTAGCTTTTCATTTCCATGTTATGTTTTCTTTTACTTTATTTGCTCTGTAGACCCATGAATCCAGGTATTTTGTTTCCAAGAAATGGTTGACGAAGTTTCAGTCTTGTATGGAACCAGGTATTTGAGTAAGAGATCATTGATAAATGCATATGTTATAGGTCAATTTGTTCTTTTGGTAAATTTGTTTCAAACTAGGTTAATTTGATCTCAAAATAATTTGAATATATCAACAAAGTTGAAATGGTAAATTGGCCAAGGTTATGATATCATCATAAAAGCTGATNAAAAGCTAGATCCACAACATACAACAACCTTGGCCAGAATTAATGGTAAAGAAGAAAAAGAAAATCCTCCAGAAGAGACCAAAAAAATGATGGACAATTTACTGAAGGAAAAATTTGCAGCTGGTCACAGGGTAGCAATCATCCATCACCTTGAACTTCTCCCACCACCCTCACCAATTCTGTTTTACTCTTATTGTGATGATCAAAATGCACCGCATAAGCATGTGGCTGTTATTTTTACTGTACATATGCCAGTAGAGCCCAGCCCATCTCTGTCTCCTAAAGAAGCAGAGGGAAGTGTAGAGAAATATCTTTCAGGTGAGGTTTGGGTAAATGATGACAGGGATGCAGTTGCTGCTCTCCTGAGCCGCATTGCTGATACTGTAGTGCTCATGAACGGCGAATTTAGTGGTTCAGCTAATTATTTTTGTGCTTAATCCAATGACTGTCACTGATAAGCTGGATGAATGAGTGAATACTCATGGCACTGTCAAGCATGACAGATTGAACCCTAAACACCCAAAGAGTGATAAGCATCCAATTTCTCCCAACATTACCAACCCCTGAATCAAACTTTAAGGTCATAAGAATAGAACAAATGATCACATTCAAGAAGAACTACATTGTCTGACAAATTCTCATTCAGGTACCATATGGAATATATAGGGAACAACAGGGAGAACTTGCATATTGATGTAAAGGAGAATTTTGCAAATTTACAATTAAGTTGACCATGGGATGTTGTCTTGATTGAACACTTAATTTTCAGGAGTAGTCAACAAAAAAAATCAAAGTTTTTTAGTTAGGAGAAGTTAAAGTTGAAATCTAGAGAGTGAAATGAGTACAAGTATAATTAGAAGTCAATTGTGTAACAAGGCTATCTATAAGGTTGAGAATCCATTGTTTCCTAGTCGTAACGAAAAGTTTGTACTCACCTGGTTACTTTGGTTTATTTGCAGTAGAATGTCACAATGATGAGAACTATTGACTCATCACAAAATACAGTGGATAGTTTAAGATGCATACAGTTCAATCATTCATAGAAACTTTAGACTGTAAAACAGGTGAAGGTATTGCAAAGGATAGTGGTCAAATTTAATTATTATTGTACCATTCAACTTCCTTCGTACCCAGTGAAAATGCTCAGTGTGTACACCAACACCCAGGAAATCTTTTTGGATCTAAAAGTTTTGTTTTTGGGACAATTATGTAAAGTGAGAAAATTTGAAGAACAAGTGTGTAGATTCACCTAGTTTTGTTGTACCAGGTTTAGTTTTAGTGTTTTATAAAGCNTGATCTCAACCTAGATCAGTTGCTGATGTCTGTTTTGTCTGTCTGTTTTTTTTTTTTCGGCTGTGTTGAGATGTCTGGAACCTGAAATTATACTAAAACAACTATTTGCCTCCGGTTCCAGAAATCTCAACATAGCAAAAAAAAACAGACAGACAGACATCAGCAACTGACCGAGGTTGAGATAAAATTAACCTAGTTTGAAACAAATTTACCTAAAGAACAAATTGACCTACAATACATATTTTGTGATAATTTTGTCAGAGGTTGTGCTTAATGTAATTGCAGTTTATCCTTTAAGAAGCAGCCTTTATATAGATGATCAGGTTAACTTGACCAAGGCTTTTACTGGCAGTGAACAGGCATTGCTTGAATGCAACTTTAAACTGGATTCATTTAATAATTGTTAATAATATCTTAAGTGCCATGATTTAGGACAAACTTTGACACCACCTTTGTCTTATATGCAAATTCTTATCTCCTACTTTTGTAGGTCCGATCACAAACTCTGATTTTTTGTGTCGCCATGGAGGTAAGAATCATCTCACAAGTGGTCAGGTTTACATTTAACTGCATTATGTGAGAAATAGTTGATGTTTTAACAGCAAATTTTAGAACTGAGGATAGTGTGGTGTTGCATGGTGGTCTAGTGCTTTGTACACTGGAGTCAAGCTTGGGAAGTGGGGATTCAGTCCCATCTAGGATCATAATGTTGTGTTCTTGGGCATTTTATTCCACTGTTAAAGTTCCTTTTTTTACCCTGGAGTATTAACAGGTACTACCACACTGTCTTGGAAGTGTAACAAATTGATCAATCATGGACAGAATTCCAGTCATGGAGGCAGTTAGCAATGTTCCTTTGTTCATTTTCAGGATAAGGTTTGGTTAGTTTAGTAGTTGGTCATATGTCTGGGTTGAAAGTGTTCTTCTCCCTGTGTGGTCAACTAAGTTTTCTGTTTCTCCTAGCTGTGCATCCACTGAAATTTGAGAAAATTCACGAGATCACAGTTCCCCTTCCCCAATCTGTATGGGTCCATCTTCTTAACCGGTGAGTTTACTAACTAGAGAAACATTTCTGTAACAAAGTAGTGTATCAAAACACTTTGGTAGTAGTCTCATTTTAATCCAGATTTTTTTTTTGCCTTGGTGTAGGTTTGGTGGAGGTCCCCCAGCTACAACACTTAACATCTGCAGACACTGCAAGGTACTTGTAGTATTCATTTGATATCTTGAGACCTACTTTACTCAGTGTTTCCTGTAAAACATTCAAGCAAGACATTTACAGTATATTGATAGCAAAAATAAACTTGCAATGACCTATTTTGCCATTTATGATACTGAAAAGTAACAGCCCCTTTTTGAATTATTATGTCAGAGAGCTCTAGATGAACTTGAAAGAAGAAGACAAAGAGAAATGGAAACATTCAAGAGGGTTTGTTATATATTTCTTTTATCTTAACCCTAAGTTAATACCTTCAGACTTTGTATTTTCAAATTGATTTAAAACCGTATATTTACACCTTCTGTCATTATTATGTTGATTCTTAGCCAGTGAATCATGATAGAAGAGTAATGGTACCATTCAACAAGTAAAACATTTCCTCAGGAGCTATAGTACAAGGAGAGGGAGGGCTAATGAAGGAGCAGATTGATTAGAAAATTTAAATAAATTAAGTGAATTTTAGTTGAGACCCTTTTACTTCCAAAATGTAAATATAACATCATTGCACTTTCTGCTTCACTTTCTTCTTAATTTTAGTATTCAATGAAACATTATCTCCCAGTTTATGTTTTTCCATCTTCTCTTTACCTTTCTGATTGGAAATATATTGATACTAAAATAGCTACATGTTTAACACTCACAAAGCAAATACACGTTTAATTTATTTGCCTGATGGACATGTATGTAGATGTCATTTAAATCCTTCATAACCTCATGCAAAAATATGAAGTTAATTGATTAGCAACAGAACATTGCAATTGTGGTACAGATGAAATTATTTTGCAGTTGCTTGACAATTAATAGAAACGCAAGTTTTAGTCGCTACAATGTACAGGAAAATTCCTCTTTGGTCACCTCTGGAATTGAAAAGGTTCCTTTTTTTGAGATAAATTATCTGTGATAAGGTTCTTTTAATTTATAATTATGTGGTTTATTGCTAGTTACTTCCTCTTACATGTTTGTATTTTTATTTCCTCAGTTGAACCATGACTATCCAGCCAACGAAAATGTGGATGTGTATTTTATCAGTTTGCGTTGGTTTAAACTATGGGAAGTGTTTGTAAAAGGACAGGAAGATGGTACGACCTGTTTAACATTGTCACCCTTATATCCTTATTACTCAATCATTCAGTGTTTTCCAATAAAAATTTTGTTGAGTGCAGTTTGTTTTCAAAGTATTCAAGAGATTGTATATTTTGTTATCCTTAGTTGACTGTTTAGCAGGCAGCAAATTGATACCAAGTCTCAATATCAGACAGTTACTTTGATGGTGCAGTGGGGGAAAGTTACACCTGCTTGGTTCATATTTAAACAATAGAGTGTTTCTGTCGAGGAACTAGCGGCTGATAGTTGCCCCGTGGAAATTTGATGTTCTTAAAACAAATATGCTAGTTTTAAGAACATCAAATTTCG